CACAGGATGGAGCATCAGGTAAAATAGGGTGGGAAGCAGCAGTTTTAAGGTACCACTCTCCTAGAAGCAGGTCAGTCTTGTGTTACAAGGCTGGCAACCTCTACACATTTTGATATCTTTCTTTGAAGAAAGAATAAAGCATTTGAGGCCTCAATGTAATAAACTGGTATGTCCTTCTGCAAAACCACGGTAAAGGAGAGCTTTAAAATAATTGTATAATTATGAAAATAATGTAATAATTTAAAGCAGTTCAAAAATAATCCTATTTACTGTCATCGCATTTTCCCAGGATTTTGCTGCTTTGTGCAAAGAAGCAATTAGAAGCATGTTGCAAAATGTAAGAATATTTTTAAAAAGATAACTACTCAAATGAGACCAGAACAATTGCTTACAACCCTTAAAAAAGGAGTGTATGTCCAATAATTTAAAAAATAAAATACTTAAAAAATGGAATGCCATTTTATAGATTGAACTACAAAACTGATGAAGGTCAGGTCAAAAGTAATGTCACTGACAAAAGAATGTCATGTGAATCACATGTTTGGAATGCTATTTGATCTGTCCCAACCCCCACAATTCTATTATATGTCTCTGATAGAATTTTGTTGTTAAGGCTAGAGAGCTGCTAAGCAGATAAGCAGGGATAGCACCAGACAAAAAAGCAGGAAACATTTCCCCAATCAAGGAACTACCAGGGAGAAAACCACATGCCCACCAACACTGGCAGAGCAAGGTACTGCATATAAACAGGGAGCAAACCCCCAAACTCACTAGAACTGAGGCAGGCATTGAAGCATCAGTAAGGAAAAAACTAAGCTCAGAGAGCACCAAGCACTCCACACTTCAGCCCTGAGCTATATATATTCTCTTTTGTAGGAGCTGTTCAGCCTTGCTCAACCTAAAGGCTTCTATATTATGCAAGACTGCAGCTCTCATCAACTTGGCTGCTCAGGAATCTCGGAAATAATAATTCAAATGTCTGGAGAATGTAAGATGGGAAATGCTGATCCAAACCAGTAAAGCAGGCAAAGGGACGGCCAGTCATGAATCACACTTGTATAGGCTTGCTCTGCTTAAGTAACCCACAGTGGTGTTGCTGAATTGCAGGGCAACTTTTAATTCAGCAGGCAATGAAAGGCACCATAGCAGGTGGAGTAACATACAAGTGGCAATGAAGCAAATATTCCAGAGCAAAAAGTGATACCATGGAAGAAAACAGTGACTTCGGGCTTCAGCTCCCCCAACCCAAACCTCTGGGAGCTGGGGCACTGAAGCCGGAAGGCAGTTTTAAGTATTTTTTTTCTTGATTTTTTTTAAAGAGGTCAGACCAACACTGGTTGAAGGTGATCCTGTAGGTCAGTGGTTCTCAACCTTTTTAATGCCACGACCCCCAATCGGTCGTAAGTTGAGGACTACCCAACCAGTTGTAAGTCAAGGACTACCCAACCGGTCATAAGTCGAGGACTTTCCCTGCCTGGGAGCGCCGCGCATGCATGGTGCCACCCCCTGCACCGGCCGAGGCGTAGCTGGCAAGGGCAGCGATGGTGCAGGGCAACCACCAGCTGGGCCACCAGCTGGCCCAGCCCAAGGGAGGTAAGGCACCCACCGGGCCCCACGCACGCCAGCAACCCTCCCTGCGCCCGCCAGCCTCCCACCTCCCACCCCTAGCCCTCTTTTACTTACATTTTTAGTAGTTACTCAGCAGGGAGGGATGGAAACTTCCAGACAGCTCGCCTTTGCTGCAGACAACTTGCAGCACCGTTTGCAGAATGGGACTTTTGGCGGGCTCAGCAGGGCAGAGACAGCCTGGACAATTCCTATTGGCTTTTGAAAGCCAATAGAATTAGACTCTATTCAAGAGAGTCTATTCTATTGGTTTTCAAAAGCCAATAGAATAAAGGGGAGTAGCACAGCTAAGGAAAAGGGGGGGAAAATGGCGGACTGCGTTGTTTGGCGACCCCCGTGAAATGGTCGTTCGACCCCAAATGGGGTCGCGACCCACAGGTTGAGAACCGCTGCTGTAGGTACTATTGAAGCACTGGGTAATTTGAAAAGTATCTAGTGCCAAAGAGGACCTATTTCCAGTCTTACCATATTCATGTCCTACTTAATATGGTGGCCAGTTCAAGTATCTGCACCAAAGACCATCTTAAAACAATTTTTGGTATTCAAGCTCCCCTCACCATTTGGACAGGGGAGCCTTTGAGAGCTTAGGTAGTTGAACATTTCATAGGTGGTGATTAATCAAGTATAGGCAATCAGATTATCTTGTCATTTTGTTGCCAGTAGGAAAAGATCTGGGAAGAAGAAACATCTGGACAAGGAAATAGATTATATTGGTGGAATCATAGGTGGACAGGAGCTGAGTGATTCCCAGGGTCCTCAGGTTGGAGACATTTCATCTGTTGTCCTCAAAATGGGGTTGGAAGATTAAGACACAACGTATTTCACTAGAACACTTGCACATTTTTTAACCGACACTATATCACAGAAATCCATAAACTTTATATTCACTGCTGTGTTGTTAGATATAAGGAGAAAAGTCAGTTGAGAGTCATATAACATTAATGCAAGTGATGGGTGAAAACTGGTGAACATCTAATAAGGAAGACCTGATCTACTGTTTTTTGAAACTTTGATTAAGTCTGTCCATATGTTGTGTTTTCATGTCTTCTGCTAGTTGGTGCTCGTGGTGCGTTTTGCGAGCCTTCTGCTTTTTCAATCTTTCAGCCTTGGAACTCCTGGTGTGAGCAAGGCAAGTCTCCACTTCTTATCTAAGGAAGATTCCCAGCTACACTTTGTACCGAAATTAAGGCTTGGCCCATCAGCAGTTATCAGCCAGCTGCACACTAAGTACCAGGGTGTTCAGGTCACATGCAGAGACAGTCCCCCTGTAGCTTTCCATTTCCTGGAAACTACCTAGCATTCAGGTCAAACTGATGCATCAACCAAAAGGCTGATGAGCTGTCTTTCTGAATACTATCCCGACAGGCTGAAGTAGATTTCAGGGCTGCTAGAATAAGCCAATCATTACTGTTCTTTTCCAAAGCAAAAACTTGTCGCTCTTCGGGGGGGGGGAAGGGGGGGTATCAAATCTGAATTCCGTTTACGAGCTCTGTGGCGTTGCTTTTTCTACAAGCTGCCCAGCGCATCAGAGGCTGAAACGCACGTCCTGCCCTTTGTCATCACCGGTTCGCCGCCCGATAAGCCCTTTCTTTCTTTTTGGATTGGGTTCCCTCCCGCCCGGAGCGGAGGTGGGTGGGAACACAAAGGCTGAAAGTGGGTTCAGGTCCAACGATGGGGGGAGGCGGGGAAGAGAGAAATTAGTCCCTCAAAAACAAAACACCACGTAGGAACACAATCCTTTATATGCGCTCTTAAATTCAGGCGGAGCAATCCCAAAACGCGGATGGCAGCGCCGCGGCTGGATTAGCTACCGGGAAGCTAAGAGTGATAGATGAGCAAAGAGGCGGGACTTGCCCGGCGCAGACCAGGCGGGACGCTGTTCTGTCGGGGTTTGCAGCAAGCGGGAAAATAATAGCGATTTTATTGCGGGAAGGAGGCAGGATTTTGAGCTTGATGTTTTTCATTTTTAAGCTTGTCAGCTGTGGTTGGGCGATTTCTATTTTCTGTGGCTGGAGGCGTGCTGAACAATGCCGAGGCTGAGCTTAGTACGTACATAACCACCATACCGTTTCCATTCGGGGTTAGCAATATAACAGAAAGAATAGAAAAAACCGCCAGGGATAGTAAACAAAAGAAATGAATGTTGTGAGACGTGAAAAACTAAATCCAATTTATACCGGTGAAATTCACTATATTTACCCTTTGTAAACCTCTCCTTCCCCTTTTGTCCTTTAAACATCTCTTGCTTCTTTTTGGGGAACCCATCAGCTCCATTCCAGCCACGACTTTCTCTGTTTCTGTTCCTTATAACCCATTTATTCTTCACAATCCAGCCCTTGTTCATTGTCTCTTACCTGATCAAATCACCTCAGTATACTACTTTTGAATAGAACAGAACAGAATAGACCTGGAAGGGACCTTGGAGGTCTTCTAGTCCAACCCTTGCTCAAGCAGGAGAACCTATACCATCTCAGACAGGTGAATGTCCAGATTCTAGTCTCTTCTTAAAGACCTCCAATGATGGAGTGCCCACGAATTCTGGAGGCGAGCTGTTCCACTGATTAATTGTCCTCACTATCAGGAAGTTTCTCCTTAATTCCAGGTTGCTTCTCTCATTGATCAATTTCCAACCATTGTTTCTTGTCCTGCTCTTTGGTGCTTTGAAGAATAATTTAACCCCCTCTTCTTTGTGGCAGCCGGTTTGTAGCATTCATTTTGTAGCATTTCTTTGTGGCAACCCCTATTAGAACACTGCTATCATGTCACCCCTATTCCTTCTCTTCATTAAACTAGACATACCCAATTCCAGCAACCGTTCTTTATATGTTTTAGCCTCCAGTCCCCTAATCATCTTTTCGGCACTCTTTCTAGAGTCTCAACATCTTTTTTACATCATGGTGACCCAAACTGGATGCAGTATTCCAAATGTGGCCTTATCAAGGCATTATAAAGTGGTATTAACACTTCACGTGATCTTGATTCTATCCCTCTGTTAATGCAGTCTAGAACTGTGTTGGCTTTTTTGGCAGCTGCAGCACACTGCTGGCTCATATTTAAGTGATTGTTCACTAGGACTCCGAGGTCCCTCTTACAGTTACTACTATTGGGCAAGGTACCCCCTATACTATATCTGTGCATTTGGTTTTTCTTGCCTAAATGTAGAACCTTATGTTCTCCTTTCTCTTATAGATACATATTTCTTACTTTCACTTCATTTGTCAGTTCATGCTTTTTATCATTTACCCTTCTTACATCCATTTGCTGTAACCCTGACCCAACCAGGAAGATTTGGTAAAAATAATTGTTGAGAAACATTAATGGGACAAAATTTATGAGATGGATTTAGCAAGAGGAGCTACCACAGTGAAATAAAAGGGTACCACTGTAGTACTTTAATACAGAGACTATATATTTAAACATCTTTAAATTGAGAGTCATAAAACAGTGGCTACATTTGTGCCTAAATCTCTTTTGGCCCTTTTCCTTTTTGTTCAAATTACTTCATTCTGGTTTTTTCATTCACCCTTCGGTAAAATTCAAGAATTTCTGGCTCCAGAGCAGTACTTCAACTTCTCCTTCCTCTCTGCTTAGCTCACGATACATCTGATCTTTTAGGCAGCCAATCCGCAATACCTGAGGATGGAGATAGAAAGAATTTAGAAAAAAAGAGAGAGATGAATTCATTTGTCCTGAAAAATTGCTGTGTCTTCAAATTGATACTTTTTCTGAAGGTACTAAGCAATGTATCAGCCTCAGAAACTAGAAATTCTGATTTAAAAAAAAAAAGGAACTGGGAAAATGCTATTGAGGACCAGAGTACATGATTGACTGGAAATAAGTTTCAGAAAGCCTAAAAGGTTCAGCAGTGAATAAAAGAAAAATTGCTGTATTGTTCTGTACTTCTTTTCCTGTTTTATTAGAAAAGGGTCTCCCCCTTATTTTGGCCACAAGTACACCAGGAATTTGGAGACATATTGTCAGCATTCTTGCAAAAATGACAATTAATCAAAAGTCCTGTTTTCCAAAAGTCAATTTTTAAAGTAATTTTGCCAAAAACATACTGTAGCTTTGTGCTTCATACTAAACCCAAATTATTAAACAAGTTACAAGGGTTCATATACTGAACTAAGTTATTAACTATAACTCCCAAACCCCAGTTCCTGACTTGCCTAAGAAGCTGTGCCCAAACTACATTGAAGTTTAGTATAATGTTTGAACCCAACTGCTGATTATGAGAAATAAATGCCCAGAAGGCAAAATAATACTTTTTCTCTTTAAAATGCTGCTTTTACACATACATATAATCTATAACCCTTCAAAAAGGGAGCAGAAGGGAAGGAAGAGGAGAGAGGAGGAGAGGAAAGGAAAAACAATAAACTAAGTAGGGAAAATGAATATATTACATATACGAAACATGAGCAAAATAGACAAACTACCCAGATCAGGCATTCCTGGAACTAAAGCAGGTGTAGAGACAAATATTTTGTTTTGCAATATCCCAACTATCCAATTTTCAAACACAGTTAAGTGATGAAGATGGCACCATACCTAAAAGACCAGGTATGGGATAGATAATCATCAGAAAATATATGTGATTGGTAGGGGTAAAAATGACTTGATGGCATATAATCTGTGAAAATTATATCTCAAGCTAGAGATGAGAAACCTTTCCCTATATTCTATAGAAAGACAAAATAGGGCAAAATAGACAGGCTTAAAGTGAAAATCCATTTTAATGTTAATGAAACTCAGTTTCAACTTAAACTATTAACTGTACCCAAATCAGCAAACATGGAGTATCAGTGATGGCTGAAGAAAGGACTACATGAGTTTATTGGGAAAATTACAAGTGACCAAGGGTTGCCCATTTGTCTTGAATGAACTAATGAAGCTTCATATAGAATTATTTTGGCTGTTAAAAGGAAAGCAACAATTAAGCTTACCCAACCCTGGAGGGAAAATAACTGATTACAAATAATTTCTATTCTTCTTTAGTTCCTAGTTATCAAACAATAAATAATCTATCCATTTAAGAGTAGGGGAAAGAAAGAACCTGGAAAGAAAGAAATTTATAAGGATCAGGGAGTTTTGCTGAATTGTAAGCATACAGTAGGATATTTTTCAGAGATGGATTTTCAGCTTTTTATGACCAGTGAAAAGGTGCCATTATTTCTTCTTCTTCTTCTTCTCAGCTTGGCTCCTGAAAAACAGCATATCCACAGCAATGGTATATGATAATTCAGAAATTGTCTAAAGTCTTTATTAGAAATGCGAAAGCTGGCCTCATTTAGGAAGGCTTACCGATGGCCTGTGGGAATACAGGACAAAAAGATGGGAGTCCTCACCTTCTTGTTTTGGATGGTGTATTCCGTGCACTGATTGCTCTTGAATGCACAATAAGTTGGATGTTGAACTCCTGTTGAGTCACAAATCTAAGAAGAATGAAATGAGACAGAAGTGGGAAACACGAGAGGAACAACCAATGGCTAAAAAAAAGCTACTTCATGAATGCCCACCTTTTCTGGGAAATCTCCGCCATGAAAGAAAGAATATTCTGACTGCAGCCAAAAAGCTACACGATAATCATCACAGCCATGAGCCGCCAAGCGACCACACCAGTACTCTGTCCGCATGCCGCCATAAGTTTCAAACCCATAAAATTCTTGTGTGTTTGGGGAGCTCTAAGGATAAGAATGGGGAAATTAGAGGACATTATAGCTATAGTGGAAATATAGCTATAGTGAAAGGGGCAAGATTCTCCAATATCTTATCAATCTAACCTTTATTTACCTCGAGGCTCCTAGCCCGATGCTGAGCCAGAATCCCAGGGTTAATGTAGTTTGTGAAGATGCCATCACTGCAGTGGGTGCGTTTCAGATTGGAGGCCCCTTGACACTGCTCTGTTTTTAGAGAGCAGAATGCACATTCAGCACACAGATCTGCATGATGCCGGCCAAGATTATCGCACACCTAGTGAACAGGGAATGAGATCAAAACAAAGCTCAGATTCTGGGAATAATCTTTAGGCCTTGCTTCCCTAAATATGTGGCAAATCATTGTTGGGGTTAATTAGCCAGGAAACTTTCCCCAAATTGCATTTGGGCATAAATGTTGTGGCATAAGCATTTAGAGGGGGCCTGGAAATGTCTGCCAAGTGCTGAATTGTACTGTAACCAGCAATGAATCTTACCAAATCCTCAGAGCCAAAGTTTTTTCTTTCTATTTCTTTCCAGGCCCTGCTAATAGCTGAGGATATGCAAATGTCCTGAAGCACTGCATAGCAGAGAATCACCAGAGCTTCATCCTTGTCAATAGCTAAAAGACTGGTATAGCAAGAGAAAAAGAAGCAAGATATGGAGGAATAACAAGAAAAACTGTTTAAATTCTATTCCTCTCTCCCCACCTGCCCATCCTATCAGGGCAACTGTAATGCCTACTGTTTCAGAAAATAGTGTCTGTTTGATATATAGCTAGGAATAAAATTCATTCTTAAGGCAAAGTGTATTCACTTGCCCTCTTATTCTCCCATCCTCACCTCCCACCCATCACCAAATTGTTGGTTTTTTTAAAGAAAGCTTCTAGGGCTAACAAACCTGTGCTGAACATATCTAAGACTACCAGTAGATGACACCAGAGAATTAGGCTTTTTATATTTCCTGGCTGTAAATCTGATTTTTAATTTAAGTCCTATTATTCCAGTCCACGATAGGTAGAATCTCATGGAACGGTGTTTTTTCCCCATCATACTAAGCTTCATGAAGAAATGAGCATCTGCTTTAAAGAGCTTTATAAAAAGTTACCCACATAGAGCTTCATCCAGTGGCCCACTAGAACAATGGCATTTTTTTCTTTCCTTGCCCTTGGTGCTCCCTTGTTTTTTCCAGTGGGTATTCAATTTTTAGAATAGCTAGAGTGTGTGGAGAAGGACCGTAAAAATGGAATTATCTTTGCAATACTGTTCAAATATAATCTAGAGAGGTGCCAGTCAGAGAATCTCAATTTCAAAGAAACAATTATCAGCGGATCAACAATCATTTTTCATTTTCATTCAAATAAATTTAATAAATGAATAAATATAAATAAATAATTTTATTTCTCAGGCCTTTCAGGGAAAGGTCTAAGAAGAAATGGTTATAGTGAATTCATTGCTACATAGGAGCAAGAACAAAAACTTACATGATTTGGGTTATGCTACCACCTCAAACTCTAACATTTATCCAGATGTGAACCTTATAGATATAATTGTCAAAGATGCCCATGATCTTCTTGCTATATACCTTTCTCAGCATGCCAGTGTTATTGATACTTCATGCATGGGGGACAGCCAAATCCTGTATGATAGAACACTGAGCAGGCCGTGATTATTGGCTAAAAGAGCCAAATACCCACTCAAGTGGAATCATTATTGAAAATGAGGAATTTATATAATTGCTTTTGTCAAACAACTAGAGATAGTCCTTGACTTACAATCATTGCTTAGTTACAATAGCACTGGGAAGAGTGACTTACAACTAGCCCTCATACTTATGACCCTCATAGCATCCCCATGGTAACATAATCAAAATTTGGGTGCTTGGCAACTGGCATCCATTTACAATGGATGCAGAGTCCCTGGGTCATGCAATTGCCATTTGTGACCTTCCGAGCCAGTAATGGGGGTTTCTGTGGCTGTCTATATTGCTGGAGAGTATCTGTCTTCCTGGGTGCTTTGTTCATCCCACATTTTAAATTCAGTGTTTTTTTCTGGTATCAACATACTTTCATCCTTGAACAGGTTTGCCCTAACCTATTGCCCTTCCGAAGTTGGCTTGAGACATTGTCATTTGAATGACCATGGGTAAAATCCAAGTTAGGTGCACTGTTTAGGTCATGCTTCTATACTAGCATTTTAATCTTTTTTTTACTTAAATAAGACTTGTAGTAGTATTGGATGAATTGGATGAGTAAAATTGGAGAATTGGATGAATTGGATGAGTAAAACTTGAAGCATATTAGAGGATATACCCAATAAACTGTGAATTGCATAGAACTCTGAAATTGTTTGCTTTGCAATGTAGCATTCTTCTCACCTAATACATAGTAAAGTCAAATTTTCATGAGGTGTGCAACCCCCACATTTTTTACTGTACAACATCCTCCCTGTGTCTAGAAAGGCTTTGATATGTAGGTCAGTTCTCCTTCAGTTATGATGATTAATTCAAAAATAAAGATAATAAACTCATTATCCCATGTGTTAAAAAAGGAAGAGTTGCATTGTTACAATAACTTGAAGAAGTAATTTACAGGCATCCATGCCTTTGATGTTGTGATTTCTTTTTCAACAAAAGACGCTCTCCTGCTTCCAGGTTGACACCCTCATTATTATTTTTACTATTATTTTGATTACTGTGAAAGAGTTATACGTTTAGCTTATGCTCCTTAAAATGGGATGAAATGTGATATATACTGTATAAGATCTCGGTTTCTCTGATGTGAGTGTTCCTGGCTTTGTTTGCTATGACCTTGGTGATTTTTGTTAACCTAATAAAGGAACAGGCTTTGACCAACTGCTTTGGCTCAATCCTTTCAGGTGAGATTTTTTCCACTATATCTTATGAAGAGGAGCTGTAGAAAGGATCCACTGGCAATGGATGATAATGCTGATACCACAGACCTTCTTCCATTCCTAGGTCGTCTTCATACCACAGAGGTGAATTTCAGCACACGGCTGCCATCCTTAATTCAAAGATGACAACCGTAAGATAGCCAGTAGTCACACTTAAGTCTTTGGCTAGTGCAAGGGCTACATGTCAAACATGTAGACAGGACTAAAAGTTATTTGTTTCTTTCAACACGGTCAAGTTTATTTTATGTTTCAGTTATGGATTTACCCTAAAATTGCATAGTTAGGGGTCAGTCAGGGTTTGAAGATCATAAAAATGGAATGGTGGTGCTTTGCATAGACCTGGGGCATCAGCTCACTCCCTTCAAACCTAATTTTGTAAGAGTGAATAATAACCTAAGCATTTCTTCTTTTTGTAACTACTCCTTTACCTGTTTGTCTAAGTCAGGGCCACTCTTTCTAAACTATTTTCCACAGCTGCCCACCCATCTTTGAATCACCAAAAAATAATGCCAGCGTAAGCTGTTTGTGTTGCCAATCTGTATTCTGCCTGTAGGGCATATGTTCTGTGAGTCAGTGTTACGTCACATGGGATTTTCCTGATTTCCGGGTACCATTTGCTATGGCCAAAGTGATTGCCTTTCTTGTTTGGGTTTGCAGATCAGAAGCCAACAATCAGAGCATTCCAGTGGGAATAATGCCAGTCTGACTTTGGATCTATACCTAGACTTCACTAACTTGGTCTGGTTCCCCATTCTCCCACACCCCATGTCCCAAAATATTTTTTTAAAAAAAGTATTTTTAAATGGGAAGAAACTAAATGAGAAATGGCTTTGAAAGGAGAGAGAAAGAGATATTTCCATGATTGCACAGCTACTAGATCTTGAAAAGGGAAGAACTGACTAGCTCTTCTCTCACTTTGGAGAGAAGAACAAATACAGGAAAAATGGCAAATAAGCAACCAAAGCTCACTTACACATCCAATTATTCTTTCTATAAAGGCACTGCAGTACAAAATAGTGGAGCTATTTCATATCAAGCTAAAGATACATTTCAGCATATAGATAAAGCAGACCAGCACAAGCATGTCACTTCTCCTTCAAATGAAATAGCAGAGCTATATATATTTTGTTTTCAAGCTGGATTTGGCCTTTACCTTCCTGAGATGTCTTTTTCACTATTCAGACCTAGATTTTTATCCTTCATGCTCTTTTCCTTCAGGTTCTTTTCCAATGACAATGCTTCACCAATCAGATGGTGGATGTCTTTAAAGAGATGCTGGTTTGTGATCTCTTCTGTGGTTTCATCATTTTTGATAAATAAGGTGAATGTTTCAGGAGGAAAGGTACTCATCTCATTATCTAAGCCAGTTGACCATTCAGGGAGCTGTTGGGCTTCCAGATTACTGTGTGGAACATGGAAATCTTTCTTCATCAGGGGCTCCTGTCCTGAGACTGCAAAGGAGTATTTCAAAATGGAGTCAATATTGGAGCGGAGGCGGTCTTCAAGGGTTAGTGGAGAAATCTCAGTAGGGGTTAAGGCATGATTCTCACTTGGAGCTGTAGGGAGAACGTCAGTCTCTTCAAGGAGTGGCAGCTTAGGACACAGGATCCGCTATCCAGGAAAAAAGGGGGGAAGAATTGTGGAAATGTAACTGTAGTATACACACAGAATCTCATTCCCACTCCTTCCCAGTATACAGATGTCTCCAACTTCTAATAGTCTAAAAATAGTCTATTCTTGATATCCTCTCCAATAAGGTTGCCTAATCTGTTGCTATTATTTCTCTTCACACACTATAGTTTTCCTAAAGGTAATTTCCCTTTGCTGTTTCCAGCATCTATCACTGGAAGTAGGCTTCTCTCATCCCATTGGCCAAAAGGAAAGTGGCACACAAGACTTAGAGTATATAACTTTCTACTATTCACAAAAGATCTAAGCATTCTCTTGTTATACAAGGCAACCTGTCCGTCTCATTAGGCTTTTTGAGTTCCCCATAGCCTTAAAGAGTATGAACAGCATATCTGTTCTTTCCTTAGTGGATGCACAAAGCCAAAAGGATTAAGAATGGGGAGGGCCACAAAAGAGCTCTGAATTACATTAAAAATAGAGAAAAGAAAGAATAAATGAGAAAGAGCTCATCTTCATTTCCTTCAAAGAGATGGTGATAAGCCAGAAATATCTCTTTGATTTGATATACTCTCTATACTATCTTCATTCACAATTCATCAAATGGAGTGCAACTGAGAAACTGCTGTTGAGTTAAGCTCTAGTTATTGGCTTTTCAGGTGAATCCATATAGCTGGATTGTGCAACTTTTAAAGAATCAATAGATATAGTTTTCTGTTGAATACCATGTTGTTTGAAAAGTGACATGGGCGAGACAAAGAGCTGAGTAGTATTGGGACAAATACAAAATTTGATGTAAAATTTAATTTGAAAATAAAATTAATTAATATTAATTAATGCAATGGATACAATAACTCCCTTGTATTTAATAACTTCTCCCCCCCTTAGATAGAAGAGATGCATAGATATTTTCAATACAGGGACTTTGATCTTGGTTAATAACATGATCCTTGGCCATTTTCAGATAGGTCTTCTGTTTCTTCGAATTAATCCTGTATTATTGGACATAGCTATTTGCTCTGGAAAACAATCTCAGCCTAGTAGGAACTGTCTCTAGAACTTGGCAGCATCCGTGTTTAAGCTGAACCATATCAACTATGTCCTTTCTGCAAACCTGGCTAATGGTAAATGTGACACCTCAGATGTAATTCCTAACACACCTAGTAATTATCTTTCTGCCAGGATGATGGAGCAGGATGGGATAACCAGGACCTATTCTAGCCAATAATCACTAAATACAAAGGCCTTTAAATCCCCTTTAAACACCTCAGCACTTTCATAGTGACAAAGGGGAAGAAGACAGCTGATTTTTGAAAGTCCAGAACTTGGAGACTGTCACCCTGGAGTAGACATAGAAAGACAAATGTAATTAGAGGAACACGAGGAGCAAACAGAATTGTAAGGAGAAGTAAGAATAGTTAGATACTGGGGAAAATGTGATCAGGGAACTCTGAATATTAGTACTAGTAGTTTTCATAATCCACGAAAGCTATTTTTATCATAGGCACCATGATTACAATAAAAGCATTGAAGCTATGCTGATACTTGAATTTATACATCATCTCAGTGTCATTTTCAAGAACACAGACATCTTTCCTTTCACCTAGATAGTTTTTAATCTCTCAAACCTTCACCTTGTCAGATTTTGCAGATAATAAGAAGACTAATGCAGTTTGAACTTCAGATTCCGGATATTCTTACCTAACCACAAAGAGTCACTGAAGTTGACAGAACACTAACTCATAACTGTAAAAAATGTGTGAAGTGTGAAAATTTAATTTGCCATGGGTTAAGACAGTTAGAAAAAAGAAATAGGACATTCAAGGGGTTTGACTACATAGAGGATTGGGCTGAAAGAAACAATTAGGAGAAACTGTTGAATGGAGAAGTATAATATACTCTAAGACAGGGGTCCCCAACTCCCAGTCCATGGATTGGCACCGGTCCACAGCATGCCAGCAAGCGGGCCACACAAACAAACAAAGCTCCATCCTCGGGATTCTGGCAGCATTGAAAATCACATCCCCTCTGGTCCGCAAAAATACCTTTCTCCATGGCACCAGTACCTGGTGCCCCAAAGGTTGAGGACCTCTGCTCTAAGAGTTTTAAAAAGAGAAGACACTGTGAAGGGGGGGGGGAGAAGATACACTTAGTTCATTTCCTTGTGCCTCTGATTTCCCTCCTGCCAACCTATTTCCTACTTCATTTAACTATCTCTGAATAGATAAGTCATGGATGAGGTGTTTATTTCCAATTGTACTAATTCAAAAAGAACTTAAGGGTCTTTCTTTTTCCTGTTTCCCATTCCTTTTCATCTTCTATGTTTTTTTCCCTTGCCCTTTCTCTTCTATAGCTGCACACATCAACTGCTAGCTTCAAGCAGTTGATGTGTGCAGTGGATATCTTTATGCAAATGAGTTGAATTTTTAGTACAGAAACAAATGATTAATTCTAGTCTGGTTGAACAGATACTTAAAAAGAACAGCGAAAGCGTAATCTGGATGTATGAGGGAAGCTATGGTTTTATGCTGCAAGAAAGCAATGGGAGAGTGGAAGAATGAGAAACAGAATAAATAAAGTCAGGGGTATCGTCAGGATTGATCTATTAGACGTATCTCTGTGATATCTCTGGTTATATTTAGTAAGGGTTGCCTGAGGAGGGCAATTAATGGTCCCATGTTCCTAATGTGAGAAGACAAAAGGGAATTCTTAGATACTGAGTGGAACCCTTAGAACCTCAAAGCACTGAATATGTCTCCTTAAGGAGTGTAGCTCCATAAAGAGAGTTTAGGTGGTTCTCAAAGGAGGCAAGTGCTTTGACATTGACACACCCCATGATGTCAGGCAATATTGCAAAGTTCTGGGTTATCTCCAAAGTAGAATAAAGATCCTCTAAATACTGTGTGAGTGGACAGAAAGAAAGAAAGTGGATAGCTTAGATTGGGCATAGACTTAGTATCTTTTTAGCAGCATAGCATGCCCTTGCAGTCAAGATGTTCAAATATTCCAAGTTTGCCTTATGAAACATCAAGATGTTATGTTCCCCATGCATATATTTTAACAACTTATTTATTTGACAGCAATATTTATAAACAAGAATATACATTAGTTCATTTTTTAAAAAAAAAATCCCTGGTCTTTGCGTTTGTTATTTATTGAATCCACCAATATAATTTACAAAGAACTAACTAAACTAACTGTTAGCGGCCTACTGGATTCCCCCCCCCCCGACATAACTTACAATAATAATTATAGTATAAAGTTAACCAACCTTTCTCAATGTTGCCTTATAAATATTTGAACTTCAACTCCCATTCTCAAATTCTCAGCAGTGGCCCTCCTAATCAGGTAATTACTGTGTGTAAGTTTGTCCAAATCTCTAGGAGACACCCAGGTTGGACAGGCTGATTTAAGACCTAAAATAGGCTTAACAGAGTTTAAATAAAAAAAAATAAGATCCTGGAATCCTAAATAGAGAATTCTGCCCTATCTCTTTGTATTAATGCCTTATCTAAAATGGTCCATTTTCCCCAAAACAGAAAGTTGTCTAAAAAGAAAAAAACTTCAGTTCAGTCATTGCTTCCTTCAAGATAAAAAACATTTTCTAGGGCATATTTAGGGAGCCTCTGGCCTTCCAAAGAAGAGGATGGAACAGGAGGAGGAGAAGAAAGCATTGTTCTCAGCATAGTTCCACACTGAAGGCTGATTACTGAAGCTTTGGGTAAATTCTGCTAAGTACACTTTTCATCCCAGTTTGTTTTAGACATTTTTGCTTGTCGCGCTTGCATTTTTAGCTGGTGCCTCTGAGCATACTTATCTCAATTCTTCTCTTGGGACTGGCTATTATGCTTTTGGATTGACCATCAACCAATAATGGTCCTTATGAGGAGGTAAATTATGAGGTGATGGTATGTGGGAATGACCTTGGGAGGAGGAGGAAAAGCATGGGAAGCATTTCAGAAGGGATCTTCCAGTGACTAAAAGGAGAGGAGAAATTCTTTCAGTCTTGCAAGACTGATGTTTAGCCCTTCATGTTAGTCAGACATGAAGCATAACCAAGAGCACTACCACTATCTTTATTCTAAGGTTACATTAAACAGAATCTTGCAAGACTGAAAGTATTTCTCCCTTCCTTTCTTTTTATCGCTGGAAAACTGGGGAGGGACCCTTCCGACACACTTACCAACTTTTTTCCCATCTGCAAACTGAGTTGCCTCTTATAGGTGGTTGTCTAGGTTGCTGGTCTTTCTCCTGTCTCCCAAGGTAATTCCCATATACCATCCCAGGTGCCCTTAATGACATTTACAAATCTCATCCTTTTACTCTCTTAATTTTACCCAAATCACTATCTACTAAGGGATTGACCCCTGTAAAATGAACATGACTGTAAGGCATGTTCTTGCTCTTACTTTGGTGTAGAACTTCTGGTTTAAGCATCGAAACTGTGCAAAAATACAAAAAGTCTCAAAATGTGGGCTTTGGGGAAGTTCAGCACAAACAGGACCTGGAAGCAGAAGGTGAAAGAGAACAATTTTCTCCCAAGATAGCAACGAGACAAGTTTGAAATGAATGAAATCATACCAAGCTAATAAAACAGCTATGTTCATTAACATCATTGGGCAGTAGAAGTTTCAATCATCCAGTATATTCTGAAAGAGTAAACTTCAAAAATGTCCCTTAAACTAATTAGAAGTCTCACAATAGAAAATATTTTAACACAGCATTACCTTTTACTTCCAAAATGAAAGATATTAAAAATGACAACCTGCACTACAGTATTGTAGGCAAACAGCAATCTGAATTCCAAAATAAAAAATAAGAAATCAACAGATACATTTCCAAAATGAGTTAGAGTGCCTAAGTAAAAGAATAAACACAAGCTAATTTTATACAACTCTTCCCCAGATCATCTTCTTGGTAGCAGCTCCATAGCCCTTCTTTGTCCTATATGGCAATATTTTGGCTCTGAATGTGACATCAAGAAAATAGTCACACTTCTGGTAGTGCTATTGCTGTTGCTAGTACAAATATATATGTACACTAATATCCAAGAACCCCCCCCCCAGCCCCCCATAAACATCTTCAGTTCTTTTACAGCACCTTCACCTCTCCTTAGGGCCATTGGATCTCAGCTAGTGATAGGGACTCAATTGGGTTGTTGTTTGATCTAAAGAAAGTAGCATCCATGGAAGAATATAAATAGAAGATTAAAAAGTCTATTTATTTGACATTTCAGAAAACAGTTCTATGCAGTTGGTCACAATGGTCCTCCTGCCAAACTACTGGGAATGAGTTTAGTACAGAGGCTAACTTTCCTTTGCATTTAAACCTTTATTCTTCCTTATAGAACTGCAATTCCTAAATGCTCTGTATAAAAGAAATGACTGTAATCCAATTATATATAATCCACTGGCTGAATGTCCCCATCTACTGGCTGATTTGAAGTAAAAATCATTTAATTTCTAATGTGATATTTTCTCAGCCCCTCTAGGAATGAAAGAAAATCAGCTGCATATTTCCTGACACTGTTCAGCAGTCCGTTTCTTCTTAGTGAGTATCTTGTTTCCCAGCATCATTGCTCAGCTTTAGCATTTTATTTCTATTTGAAACTACGGCAGATACAGTACCAGCAATCAATCTTCAGTCTTTCTTCCCCAATTCCATAGAGCATTAGTGTTCACAAGGCTATCTTGCTCTGGCATTTATAACTGTCTTTTTGTAGCTGATATTTGACCGTTACCATTCCATTTAGGAAAGCTATTGAATCGAGTTTAGTACTACGGTCACAGTGATTCAGGCTTTTGAACTTAGATTTACTTCCATCTTTTAACACAGCTATCACATCTGGGGCCTTTGTACTCTTTTATTTTATATATATTTAATTGATTTTTTAACATAGTCACCTTACTATTTGGTAAACAGCATGTTTTCTGGGTTTATATCTAAAAACAATCAATAACAATTAATTTCTATAATTCCATAATCCACATAGTAGCTTTCTTTGATTTTCTCTTCTTCCAATAATATTCTCTTTGACCAACCTTGAATTAGTACATTTCTTAGTATTTTGATAGATAACAGTTGAATATAAACATTTTTCTAGTATTTAACAACCACGTCAATATAAAGCTTCTTTTCTAATTGATCATCTTAATTACCTCATCATAGATCCTGTTTTCAAAGTTCTTATTTAGATTTGTTTTCCCTGCAATGTTTAAAACATTCTTACCAGTTAAGCCATCCCAACAATTTTACATTTCTCATATCTTAAAAAAAAGAGAAGGAAAAAAAGGAAGGAAATAATATGCTACTTGAGAAATATGTCCCTCTTAAACTAAGATACATTTATATCCAAAAATTTTCTATTATTTTTAAACATATTCAAACAAAATTTTAATCTTTAAATATTACATCTAATAAATCCAATCATCTAATCTTTTAAATCTATTCAGAACATTTTTATCAATTGAAATTTTCTTAAGATCAATTACAAGTAAGTATCTAAAACATTTCCCTCATATAAACCATCCCAACATTTTTATATTTCTCATATCATAAAAAAATACTATGTTATTTGAGGGGCGCATCCCTCTTAAACTAAAATACAATTATATCCAGAATTTTTCTATTTTTTAACCATATTCAAACAAGTGTTTAACCTTTAGATATTCCATCTGATAAATCCCATCATCTAATTTCTTAATTTTAACTTTAGCCCCCCCTTTTTTTTTGCCAAACATCTTTCCTAATCTGTATGCTCCACTGGACCAAAAAGTCTTCCCATAGTCTTGTAGATGTTGTTGTAAGTACAAGAGACAAATCCAGTAAGATGTTTTTGTGGGAAGGTTTTGCCCCTTCGTATTCATTGAAAATATTTTTCTTTCTTTCTTTCTTAATTTCTCTTATCATTTTTTGTCTCTCAAGTTCTCATAGTTCTCCTGACAGCTCTATAATCCATTTTGTCGAATCTTTTTTCTTGTCCTCAGGGTATTTTGCAATCTTGAAGTGTAGGTTATCTTTTCCATGTCCTGCAAGTTTTTCTCCGCCTAAGTTCAATCATAATTCCTTCCATTGTTGGGTTCTATCTTTAAAACTCTTTCCTCTGGTTTATGTTGTCTGCTTTATCTGATCACTCTCTATTTTTATTTTCTGAGAGTTTTTTTGTTGTAAGGTTAAATTAAAGATGTGTTCATTTATATTTTAAAAGTTGTTTTTAATTTCCTCATGGTTTGATATCATTGTCATTTGAATTAGTTGCAGCATAGCATACATTTCCTCCTGGAAAGTATTTGTTTTTTTCTTGATATGTTCTTTCTGCAGATCTCTCATGTTCCATGATAGCCAAAAATTAAAGTTTTCCTTTCTCTCCAAACAGCTTTAGAGTCATAGTTCAATAAGTATTTATAATCCAGGAAGGTTAATTTTTTTCTAAGGTTTATAGTTCTTGCCTTTTAGGTAGCCCAAAATGTTTTCTTTTCTTTGTTACAGCTTTTTCTGGGCTTTCTGCCAATTCCTGTATTAGAGCAACTACAGTTGTCTATTTTCATCCACCACTAGATGGATGTGTTCATTTTCCAGTTTTCAAAACAAGCAATTTCTTTTGTTTTCGTTACTAATCTTTTGAAAAGAAAATCTTAACAAATTCCACCAATTTCAAACTTATCCAGATTTAAGTTTTATATTCATTTCATTTCAATATATTTCTGTCCCCCATAAAAGTTTAATTCACTGCTTCCTTCTGTGGGAGGGTGGGGCAAGGATCCCCTTCCTTCTCACTTTCAGAGGATTTTTGCTTCTTGTTTTTTTTTTCAGGAAATCAATTATCAAGTAGAAGAGAATCAATATTCTTACCCAGTTCCAAACATGTTGTTTACGATCAAGCTTAAATTAGTGCTTTTTGGCTTCGGCTGCTTGTAGCTTGGGCTAGACTCTGGAGTGAAGTTAGCCTTTCTTCTGCTGGTTTCTGGAGGGCTTTTCCCTATCAACCAGATTGACTGCCATCTCTCCGTGATTGGTGGGACTCCCCTCCTTCTTTGTCGCCTCTCTGTGGCAACTTTAGGCCCATTTAGGGTCCCCTAACAGGAAAAAAATCGGCTGTAGAGTGCGGAGCTCCATGATGCCTCAGCTGCTACACTACTGCGCAAAACCGGAAGCCTCCAGGCCTTTGCACTCTTAGCAATTTATCTTCCCTTGCTATCATCTTCTAAGTTTAAGGAAGGGTTTTGTCTTTAGACACATACATGCAAACTAATGTATGGTTAATGGGGAAATGGGGGAGAGATACTACTAAGTTATTTTCTTTTCATGGAAAGACTTCTTAATGTTTGTTAATTCACAACCTGGTAGTGTCTTGGCAGGTTAAGAACTCTAGGCTTCCACAAAATGCAAGCCAATAGAGCACATGAAATTAGGATAGACTAGAATAGAGCTGGAAGGGACCTTGGAGGTCTTCTAGTCCAGCCCCGTGCTCAAGCTCAATTAGCTGACACTTCATTATATTCTTTATGTACATGAAGTTATAGACCAGCCAATTATGGTAAAACTATGAATATCAACATAGATGTCAAAATGGTAAAGATAATCTCAAAGCTTTAATTTTCATTAAAAAAAAGATTGGCGGTCTGTAAAATCACAGTATGTCTTCAGTGTGGATATGTTGCAACAACAAGAGCAAAGAGGAAGGAATGTTGACCAAATGAAATTTGTGTCCCATCTTCAGAACTGGGGATGAAGATGGATTCATGTTTTTTAAAAGTGGAAGATTATTACTATAGCATACACGCATATATTTCACGGTTAAATGTAAGGATTTTTAAACTACAGGCTATGAAAAACTAGCTATGTATGGGAAACCAAGTGCTACCAGCAACTCTCACCCCAAAAGAATGCTGGAAGAAATCTGAAGTGTGCACCACGTACCCTCTGGGATCTGGCCATGATTCTCAAATTGATCCAGTTCTATTATTTTAGGATCATGGCAACCTTTGTTACGGCGGATCTGACACACCAGGTTTGCCTTCCATGTGGGTCTCAAGGAAGAGAAAAAAACCTTATATTCATTGTCCGTGAGTGGGCTGCCTGGATTTGAGGACAAGGAACTTGGGATTGCTGGTATCAAAAAGATTGGGAATCCTGAAGGAAAAACAGCCAAAAAAGGAAATATATTAATCAGACAAACAGGATAGAGCAATACTACATCAAGTTTATTAATATCAATAAACTCTTTAAAAATATTGGCGACTTTCACTTATTTTAGCAAAACTGATGAGCAGATGGTCTATTGATAAATTTCTAATAGTGTTAACAAGATTAGCTTTCCAGTAAGAAAAATAATTCTCCTTTTCCTTCCAAACTATACTGCTGAAATGAAAGTTTGGAGGTTGAAATGGATTTATGACTTTGAATTTAGATAAATTCTGACACTCAAAGGCAAATTACCAGTCTAAGAAATCTTTAGTTTTGGGTTTATATATGCATCAGGCTCTGATGAATTGATCTTGGGATTCTGGTGAAAAGCAAAACTTCCTAGGAGCCTGAAATTTCCTTTAGAAATGATCTTTCTCAATTCTAAAAGGCCTTGTAGAGTAGAAAAGTTTAAGAGTGGGACCATATACAGTAAGTCCTTTCTATGCCATTTTTCCTGAAGAAAATGGGGTGTATTCTGAATAAACATGCAGAGTATCATTGTGAATTCACAAGCCACAGTACTTGAAAATCCAAAACAAACTAAATCTGGTATTTCTTTATGCAAATTGAATAGCATCAGTTTAAGATTTCCTTGAAATAAAGAGCTATCAGCTTTCCTAAGATATATTCCTTTCTTTTTTTCAAGGCTTTTCTAGATTCAAATATAAGGTGGTGGTCTATTGTTCAAATATAGATGTAAAATGTTTGGATATTTTAAAGTCATTTAGAAGAGTTTCTTCAGTTTGTTTAATGAGCATGCATTCTGATTTGATTCACTTAAATAGAATAGGCATAAATTCAGTTAAACGTGAAATATTTTTTAAAAGTCGTTTTTCCTCCAAGTGCAATGCAAAGAAATAACGTCCTGCCATGTATAAAGCAAAAGTAAAGGGGGGAATCTTTTCCTAGTATGTGCATACAAGCCTTTAAGAGATAAAAGGAAGCAATGCCAGTTCAGATTTTATCTGCCCACCCCGCATCCTTCCCAGCTTTATCAGATAGCAATCTTTAATCCAGGTAAGCAGACAAAGCCATTCTCCATAGTGCCCTGACTGAAAAAAACTACTGTCATTTCAAAACACAGGAAAAAAAACCAACATTGTCAAAGCTGATTTTGTTTTTAACCAAAACGTGAAAGTTCAGCTTCCAAGCTTTTGGAGCATCTTTGCTGCATTAAGGACTTCAAATTTTTAGGCTTTGTGATGGTCCAATATATAAGAAATGGATCAGTATCCCATATTGGAGATTTCTAAAGGAACCTCCCAAGGGTCTCCAGGAATTTTGTTTGATTCCAAATTGGATAGAGATCACGGGATAAAATATAGAGAAGACCAGCAGGTACAGTGGCAGCCATGGATTAAGCCAAGTTTGATAAAAAAGCAGTAGTTTGGACAGTTTTTCATCATACAGGTAAGTCAGCCACTCACCCACCAGAAAGGCCCATGATGAGGTCCTGAACCTCAGGACTGGCATTTTGCTTCTTTCATGTTAAACTTCTCCACTTCTCACCAATACACCCCTTTTCAAAGGCCAACAAGACCAGACACTTTTAGAATGAGAATACAATGACCTCACAGTTGAAGCTATTGCAGGGGAAACAAGAATCTTCTAGACAGGTTAAAAATGCTGGTAGGAAATGGACCCTTATGAATATAGGGAGTGAACAGCAGTCACTATAATGTAAAGCAACAGTTTTCTCTGTTCTTGGTCTTTGGTTGTTGTTAAAAATCAGAATATAGTAGGCAGGTAGACTGTAGATACAGCCTATTGGAAACTTTATTGTGAAATGAATGGGAATTCCAAAAGATACACTCTTAATAATAATAATAATAATAATAATAATAATAATAATAATAATAGTAGTAGTAGTAGTAGTAGTAGTAGTAGTAGTAGTAGTAAAGTTGGAAGGGACCTTGGAGGTCATCTAGTCCAACCCCCTGCTCGGGCAGGAAACCCTACACCATTTCGGACAAATGGCTGTCCAGTCTCTTCTTAAAAACTTCCAGTGTTGGAGCATTTACTGCTTCTGGAGGCAAGCTGTTCCACTGATTAATTGTTCTCACTGTCAGGAAGTTTCTCCTTAGTTCTAGGTTGCTTCTCTCCTTGATTAGTTTCCACCCGTTGCTTCTTGTCCTGCCTTCAGGTGCTTTGGAAAATAGCTTAATTCCCTCTTCTTTATGGCAGCCCCTGAGATATTGGAATACTGCTATCATGTCCCCCCTTGTCCTTCTCTTCGTTAAACTAGACATACCCAATTCTCGCAACCGTTCCTTATATGTTTTAGCCTCCAGTCCCCTAATCATCTTTGTTGCTCTTCTCTGTACTCTTTCTAGAGTCTCAACATCTTTTTTACATCGTGGTGACCAAAACTGGATGCAGTATTCCAAGTGTGGCCTTACCAAGGCATTGAAGAGTGGTATTAATACTTCACGTGATCTTGATTCTATCCCTCTGTTAATGCAGCCTAGCACTGTGTTGGCCTTTTTGGCAGCTGCAGCACACTGCTGGCTCATATTTAAGTGATTGTCTACTAGGACTCCGAGGTCCCTCTCACAGTTACTACTATTGAGCATGGTGCCACCTATGCTGTACTTGTGCATTTGGTTTTTCTTGCCTAAATGTAGAACCTTGCTTTTTTCACCATTGAATTTCATTTTGTTAGTTAGTGCCCAGTGTTCAAGTCTGTCCAGATCCTTCTGTACCTGAAGCCTGTCTTCTGGAGTGTTGGCTATTCCTGCCAGCTTGGTGTCATCTGCAAATTTGATGAGTTCCCCATCTATCCCTTCATCCAAATCGTTGATGAAGATGTTGAAGAGTACTGGGCCCAGAACAGAGCCCTGGGGCACCCCACTACACACTTCCCTCCATATAGATGCAGTTCCATTGAGGACCACTCGCTGAGTACGGCCGGTCAGCCAGCTACGGATCCATCTGGTGGTGGTTCTGTCTACCCCACATTTTTCTATCTTGTCAAGTAGTAGGTTGTGATCTACTTTATCAAATGCCTTACTGAAGTCCAAGTAAATTATGTCCACAGCATTCCTCTGATCCACTAATTTTGTCACTTGGTCAAAGAATGCAATAAGATTTGTCTGGCATGATCTATTTTTGACAAACCCATGTTGGCTTTTAGTAATGACTTTGTTTGCCTCTAGGTGTTCGTTGATTCGTTGTTTGATTATCTTTTCCAGGATCTTCCCAGGTATTGAGGTCAGGCTGATAGGTCTGTAATTTCCTGGATCCATTTTTTTCCTTTTTTGAGGATGGGAACTACATCAGCTCTTTTCCAGTCCTCTGTTAGTTCCCCTGTGTTCCAGGATCTTTGAAAAATATAGTTCAGTGGCTCCGATATCACATCTGCCAGTTCCTTGAGAACTCTGGGGTGTAATCCATCTGGTCCTGGCGATTTGAACTCATCTAGGCTGGACAGGTGCTCCCTAACCATTTTCTTGCCTATCTTGTGTTTCTGTTTTGTTTTTTATGGCACTATTTTTGATAGATTGGTCTGTTTTTTCCCTTTGTGTAAAGACAGATGCAAAAAATGAGTTAAATAGTTCTGCTTTCTCCCTGTTGCTTGTCACCTTCTTGCCACTTCCACCCACTAATGGACCAATCATTTCCTTCACTTTTTTCTTGTTTTTTACATGTTGAAAGAAGCTTTTTTTGTTATTTTTGACTTTGGTCACAAGCCTTAGTTCATTTTGAGCCTTGGCTTTCTTCACTTCATCTTTGCAGGCTCGGGCTATTTGCTGATATTCTGACTTAGTTATGTTCCCCTCTTTCCACTTTCTATACTTGTCCTTTTTATCTTTCAATTTGTCAGAGAGTTCTTTATGCAGCCATGCTGGTTTCTTTTGAGAGCTGTTATTTTTCCTCTTTGTTTCCTCTTGATTCATTTGAGAGTAACTTGTCTATTTTGCCTCATGTTAATGCGAAGGATGCAATGCAATATTGATTTATTAGGTATTAAGTGTTCTCAAATCAGCAGAATGAGAAAATTGAAGGCATAAAGCTCCCAAGGAATGTAGAAAACAGTCACAATGTTTAAGACAACAGAGAGAATCCTGGTGAGTTTCATACTTTGCTACAAGATAATTCAGTTCTGCAAGACTTGTTTTTTATTAGATCTTCTCTTTACCTTTGGAAGGCACCTGGCTAGAAATGGGAGACTGCAAGTTCTAGTCCTTATGCCTATCATTCTCTTAAAAGTAAGGACAAGCCGCTTCCAAAGTTTTGCCAAGAAAACTGCAGGAACCTGTCCCAGGCAGTTGCCAGGAATCAAGACTGTTTTAAAGGCATTTCCCCACCCCAAAAGGTATGCATTTAGGTAGGAAACAGACCCTTATACAGTGATAGACCCCACAATTAAACAGCATCAGTCCAGCACAGAGTGATAAGCAGGGAATTTATGTATTGATTTAGTGGATTTATAGGGTTGATAACTCGAATACTGTGACTGCAAAGCAGTGCTGGATCTATTAATATGCAAGGAAAGTATTATATAAAACTATACAATCGGGTACAGTCAGCATTTGTAGTAGGCTAGGACCAGGGTCCTTTCATTTTAGATTTATCTAGTGCCCAGCTTCTCTTTTAGATACCCACACAAAAATATTCCCCCACAATGCCTCTAGGAACTTTTTCTAAATTAACTTCTGCTGTTTTACTTACTGTTTTTATTGTATTTGTAGTAAAAGTTGTACACCAACAATACTGAGTTTCTTAAAATAAATGATGAAAGGTAGATATCTGACTCATTGTACGGATGGAGACAAAATGTATAATTCATGCAGGCTGTTCTTTCAAGTATAAAAATCATTTAGCTCAATCTTATTAAATACCCTACTTATTCATCCAACTTATTACTTACTTTTTCCCTTTCACTAATTGCCCTGCTTTTATTCTAGCACCCTTTCCATGTTGGGAGAAACAATTTAATGTCCTGAAGTGCTTAAATGCAAACTGACATTTTGAAGCAGAAAATTATCAGCTAATAATGAAATCAATCACACCACCCTCCGCTCAAAAGTGAAAATCACTCATGACACGTGTTGAATTGGTTTTATTTAATACATATTTTACAATATGGGGTTTCCCCCTAAAACAAGCACCACCAAGAAAAGACTGCAGCCTGGTTGGCTTCTATTACAAAACCCATGAAATATTTTGGTCAGGGAATTTTTTTTTTTCACTTTTTAATAGTTTCCCATAAAGAAAAATGGGTCACTTTTCAGTTGCCTCTATATAGCTCCCTCCGTTTGAAAAATGGAATGCTGTAGTAGTGGAGAAGGAAGGGAGAATAAGAAGCCTGTCTTCTTAAAATACATACTGCATGAAGGGTTGACTTGGTGGCCCCTCCTGTGGAACACCAATTAGGAAGTCTGGAAGGAAAACGGCAGTTTCTTCAATCAGATATTCCCCTACCAAGAAATCGTTGTTCCTTTAAGCTGATGCAGGTTTTAAAACCTATGCAAGGAAAAGGACTGTAAGCCAACGACTGACTCCATCTCCTTCTCAAGGACAAGCAGCGAGTGTTTCAGTACACACAGGAACCATCAAATGGATACAAACCATTCACAAGTAGCTCTGCTCACCCAGAGTGGGGACCCCTACCTAACGAAGCCCCAGGGACTGGGAGAAGAGTGCTGAACCCCAACTGCAGAGCTGGGTGTTTCGGAAACCGTATCTGGACCTTGGAAGATGATAAAATTTATTTTTTCTTCCTCTCCTGGGAACAGCGAGGACAGAACCTGCATCAAGGAGAAAAGGCAAAGCAGTAATTTGGGGATCAACACTATCAAAGAAAAAAAGGATACACAGAATTGATTTAAGCAGCTGATAATTCCGCAAGCAAAAAAATAATAATCTAATATTTTAAAGCATTATTTTCACACTACCGCTCTCAAATATTTTGTAACTAGTGTACGTATAATAGTTATACTATAAACCATATAGAATTCAAATTCTGAATAATACGGTTGATATTTTTTCAACATGTGGTCTTCCAGGATTGGGTTCCAAATGCTCCATGGAGAAGATTCATTTCACTTACAAATGAAATTGGATGCTGAAATTATGCTCATGATACGTCAAATTGAATTTCTCCCATGATCTGAGCTTTTCCAAAAGAGCTTTGTCTTGCTGGAAGGTGCCCAAACAATTTTTCCTTCTTTTATAGGGCAAGATCCTTAGGAATCTGAAAAATCACTAATGGGGCTAGTAGGAGAAATCTGGGGATTAACTGTTTATGAGTTCTAAAGCCCTGACAATAATAATGCATCGCCAAATGGAGAGATCATAATTAGTATTTTAATTATGTTTAAAAGCCAGTAGTTTTTAATGCAATGTTACTGGCTTCCTGGTTTATTTCCATGTCCATGGGAATGGAAAAGCAAACAGATACATAAACATTATTAAATGTCACAACACTATGAAGCTCCTATAAGTAGCTAACAGACTTTGATATAGGAATAAACATATGAACGAATAGGGGTAATTCTCCTGGTTAACCACCCAACTGATTCTTTGAGAACATCCTCC